AGTTCTATTCTGTAGAGTGTTAGTTCTAATCTGCACAGTGTTAGTTCTATTCTGTAGAGTGTTAGTTCTAATCTGCACAGTGTTAGTTCTATTCTGTAGAGTGTTAGTTCTAATCTGCACAGTGTTAGTTCTATTCTGTAGAGTGTTAGTTCTAATCTGCACAGTGTTAGTTCTATTCTGTAGAGTGTTAGTTCTAATCTGCACAGTGTTAGTTCTATTCTGTAGAGTGTTAGTTCTAATCTGCACAGTGTTAGTTCTATTCTGTAGAGTGTTAGTTCTAATCTGCACAGTGTTAGTTCTATTCTGTAGAGTGTTAGTTCTAATCTGCACAGTGTTAGTTCTATTCTGTAGAGTGTTAGTTCTAATCTGCACAGTGTTAGTTCTATTCTGTAGAGTGTTAGTTCTAATCTGCACAGTGTTAGTTCTATTCTGTAGAGTGTTAGTTCTAATCTGCACAGTGTTAGTTCTATTCTGTAGAGTGTTAGTTCTAATCTGCACAGTGTTAGTTCTATTCTGTAGAGTGTTAGTTCTAATCTGCACAGTGTTAGTTCTATTCTGTAGAGTGTTAGTTCTAATCTGCACAGTGTTAGTTCTATTCTGTAGAGTGTTAGTTCTAATCTGCACAGTGTTAGTTCTATTCTGTAGAGTGTTAGTTCTAATCTGCACAGTGTTAGTTCTATTCTGTAGAGTGTTAGTTCTAATCTGCACAGTGTTAGTTCTATTCTGTAGAGTGTTAGTTCTAATCTGCACAGTGTTAGTTCTATTCTGTAGAGTGTTAGTTCTAATCTGCACAGTGTTAGTTCTATTCTGTAGAGTGTTAGTTCTAATCTGCACAGTGTTAGTTCTATTCTGTAGAGTGTTAGTTCTAATCTGCACAGTGTTAGTTCTATTCTGTAGAGTGTTAGTTCTAATCTGCACAGTGTTAGTTCTATTCTGTAGAGTGTTAGTTCTAATCTGCACAGTGTTAGTTCTATTCTGTAGAGTGTTAGTTCTAATCTGCACAGTGTTAGTTCTATTCTGTAGAGTGTTAGTTCTAATCTGCACAGTGTTAGTTCTATTCTGTAGAGTGTTAGTTCTAATCTGCACAGTGTTAGTTCTATTCTGTAGAGTGTTAGTTCTAATCTGCACAGTGTTAGTTCTATTCTGTAGAGTGTTAGTTCTAATCTGCACAGTGTTAGTTCTATTCTGTAGAGTGTTAGTTCTAATCTGCACAGTGTTAGTTCTATTCTGTAGAGTGTTAGTTCTAATCTGCACAGTGTTAGTTCTATTCTGTAGAGTGTTAGTTCTAATCTGCACAGTGTTAGTTCTATTCTGTAGAGTGTTAGTTCTAATCTGCACAGTGTTAGTTCTATTCTGTAGAGTGTTAGTTCTAATCTGCACAGTGTTAGTTCTATTCTGTAGAGTGTTAGTTCTAATCTGCACAGTGTTAGTTCTATTCTGTAGAGTGTTAGTTCTAATCTGCACAGTGTTAGTTCTATTCTGTAGAGTGTTAGTTCTAATCTGCACAGTGTTAGTTCTATTCTGTAGAGTGTTAGTTCTAATCTGCACAGTGTTAGTTCTATTCTGTAGAGTGTTAGTTCTAATCTGCACAGTGTTAGTTCTATTCTGTAGAGTGTTAGTTCTAATCTGCACAGTGTTAGTTCTATTCTGTAGAGTGTTAGTTCTAATCTGCACAGTGTTAGTTCTATTCTGTAGAGTGTTAGTTCTAATCTGCACAGTGTTAGTTCTATTCTGTAGAGTGTTAGTTCTAATCTGCACAGTGTTAGTTCTATTCTGTAGAGTGTTAGTTCTAATCTGCACAGTGTTAGTTCTATTCTGTAGAGTGTTAGTTCTAATCTGCACAGTGTTAGTTCTATTCTGTAGAGTGTTAGTTCTAATCTGCACAGTGTTAGTTCTATTCTGTAGAGTGTTAGTTCTAATCTGCACAGTGTTAGTTCTATTCTGTAGAGTGTTAGTTCTAATCTGCACAGTGTTAGTTCTATTCTGTAGAGTGTTAGTTCTAATCTGCACAGTGTTAGTTCTATTCTGTAGAGTGTTAGTTCTAATCTGCACAGTGTTAGTTCTATTCTGTAGAGTGTTAGTTCTAATCTGCACAGTGTTAGTTCTATTCTGTAGAGTGTTAGTTCTAATCTGCACAGTGTTAGTTCTATTCTGTAGAGTGTTAGTTCTAATCTGCACAGTGTTAGTTCTATTCTGTAGAGTGTTAGTTCTAATCTGCACAGTGTTAGTTCTATTCTGTAGAGTGTTAGTTCTAATCTGCACAGTGTTAGTTCTATTCTGTAGAGTGTTAGTTCTAATCTGCACAGTGTTAGTTCTATTCTGTAGAGTGTTAGTTCTAATCTGCACAGTGTTAGTTCTATTCTGTAGAGTGTTAGTTCTAATCTGCACAGTGTTAGTTCTATTCTGTAGAGTGTTAGTTCTAATCTGCACAGTGTTAGTTCTATTCTGTAGAGTGTTAGTTCTAATCTGCACAGTGTTAGTTCTATTCTGTAGAGTGTTAGTTCTAATCTGCACAGTGTTAGTTCTATTCTGTAGAGTGTTAGTTCTAATCTGCACAGTGTTAGTTCTATTCTGTAGAGTGTTAGTTCTAATCTGCACAGTGTTAGTTCTATTCTGTAGAGTGTTAGTTCTAATCTGCACAGTGTTAGTTCTATTCTGTAGAGTGTTAGTTCTAATCTGCACAGTGTTAGTTCTATTCTGTAGAGTGTTAGTTCTAATCTGCACAGTGTTAGTTCTATTCTGTAGAGTGTTAGTTCTAATCTGCACAGTGTTAGTTCTATTCTGTAGAGTGTTAGTTCTAATCTGCACAGTGTTAGTTCTATTCTGTAGAGTGTTAGTTCTAATCTGCACAGTGTTAGTTCTATTCTGTAGAGTGTTAGTTCTAATCTGCACAGTGTTAGTTCTATTCTGTAGAGTGTTAGTTCTAATCTGCACAGTGTTAGTTCTATTCTGTAGAGTGTTAGTTCTAATCTGCACAGTGTTAGTTCTATTCTGTAGAGTGTTAGTTCTAATCTGCACAGTGTTAGTTCTATTCTGTAGAGTGTTAGTTCTAATCTGCACAGTGTTAGTTCTATTCTGTAGAGTGTTAGTTCTAATCTGCACAGTGTTAGTTCTATTCTGTAGAGTGTTAGTTCTAATCTGCACAGTGTTAGTTCTATTCTGTAGAGTGTTAGTTCTAATCTGCACAGTGTTAGTTCTATTCTGTAGAGTGTTAGTTCTAATCTGCACAGTGTTAGTTCTATTCTGTAGAGTGTTAGTTCTAATCTGCACAGTGTTAGTTCTATTCTGTAGAGTGTTAGTTCTAATCTGCACAGTGTTAGTTCTATTCTGTAGAGTGTTAGTTCTAATCTGCACAGTGTTAGTTCTATTCTGTAGAGTGTTAGTTCTAATCTGCACAGTGTTAGTTCTATTCTGTAGAGTGTTAGTTCTAATCTGCACAGTGTTAGTTCTATTCTGTAGAGTGTTAGTTCTAATCTGCACAGTGTTAGTTCTATTCTGTAGAGTGTTAGTTCTAATCTGCACAGTGTTAGTTCTATTCTGTAGAGTGTTAGTTCTAATCTGCACAGTGTTAGTTCTATTCTGTAGAGTGTTAGTTCTAATCTGCACAGTGTTAGTTCTATTCTGTAGAGTGTTAGTTCTAATCTGCACAGTGTTAGTTCTATTCTGTAGAGTGTTAGTTCTAATCTGCACAGTGTTAGTTCTATTCTGTAGAGTGTTAGTTCTATTCTGCACAGTGTTAGTTCTATTCTGTAGAGTGTTAGTTCTAATCTGCACAGTGTTAGTTCTATTCTGTAGAGTGTTAGTTCTAATCTGCACAGTGTTAGTTCTATTCTGTAGAGTGTTAGTTCTAATCTGCACAGTGTTAGTTTTATTCTGTAGAGTGTTAGTTCTATTCTGCACAGTGTTAGTTCCGTTCTGTAGAGTGTTAGTTCTAATCTGCACAGTGTTAGTTCTATTCTGTAGAGTGTTAGTTCTATTCTGCACAGTGTTAGTTCCGTTCTGTAGAGTGTTAGTTCTAATCTGCACAGTGTTAGTTCTATTCTGTAGAGTGTTAGTTCTATTCTGCACAGTGTTAGTTCCGTTCTGTAGAGTGTTAGTTCTAATCTGCACAGTGTTAGTTCTATTCTGTAGAGTGTTAGTTCTAATCTGCACAGTGTTAGTTCTATTCTGTAGAGTGTTAGTTCTAATCTGCACAGTGTTAGTTCTATTCTGTAGAGTGTTAGTTCTAATCTGCACAGTGTTAGTTCTATTCTGTAGAGTGTTAGTTCTAATCTGCACAGTGTTAGTTCTATTCTGTAGAGTGTTAGTTCTAATCTGCACAGTGTTAGTTCTATTCTGTAGAGTGTTAGTTCTAATCTGCACAGTGTTAGTTCTATTCTGTAGAGTGTTAGTTCTAATCTGCACAGTGTTAGTTCTATTCTGTAGAGTGTTAGTTCTAATCTGCACAGTGTTAGTTCTATTCTGTAGAGTGTTAGTTCTAATCTGCACAGTGTTAGTTCTATTCTGTAGAGTGTTAGTTCTAATCTGCACAGTGTTAGTTCTATTCTGTAGAGTGTTAGTTCTAATCTGCACAGTGTTAGTTCTATTCTGTAGAGTGTTAGTTCTAATCTGCACAGTGTTAGTTCTATTCTGTAGCGTGTTAGTTCTAATAATATGCACAGTGTTAGTTCTAATCTGTAGTGTGTTAGTGTCAGTTCTAACTGATGGCTTGTTAGTTCTATTTTATACCTACATTGTCTAATTTATACCACGTTATATCTAATTTATAACAATTAGGACTAACAATATGGGAACTATAGTGGAACCAGCAATAACTCTAGTAGAACTAACAAAATAGCGATTAGAACTGACAAATAAAACATTAGAACTCTAGTATGGAGCATAACAAAGAACTGCTTAATGACAAATAAAACATTAGAACTGAAGTCCAGTTAAACCTAGTATAGAACTAACAAGAAGACGATTAGAACTTAAGTTAATTGATTTTACAGTTAACCTACATGTCTTGTCGGACTTGCTCGTTTTCCTGTTTATTCGAAGAATCATCTCCTTCTTTAAAAGCTTGCACGTGAACCTCTTTCAGTCCAAGATTGTGGCAATGCTCCACCATAGACGTCAGATCACCATCGTTCTCAATGAGAAATTTTAAGCTTCCAACTGTTTGATCTTCGTATGCCAAAATTAATGACTCGTATGGAAGATCTAACCTCTCTACCGCATCAAACTTGAGATCCAAGATGGTGGTTGGAGAATTAATCTTCAAGAATACCGCTTTATACTGCGAAGAGACAATGCAGATGATGTCCTTTTCAGCCATTTTGATCTGAGGAGGAGGAGTAATGGAGAACTAACTAGTTATTGCTCATGATGGAGAGAGTTATGGAGAGAATTTTGGTCTGAGGAGGAGGAGTAATGGAGAACTAACTAGTTAGATGGAGTAAAAAAAGGGGGAAATTTCCCTCCATTTTCCCCATCATATCGCATTAATGAGAAGTGACTTCCAGGACTCGTCTGGGGAAGAAAGAGAAGGGCAGTTTCGGTTTTTTTGTAAAATACCATCTGCTTTTAGTATAAAGCTGACGTGGAGGGGGCTTAAAACATTAAAGCCCATTTTTGGGGGCTATTCCACATGGGGCAAAGTACAGGGGAGCTAGTCACACGAAGTTCCCACTTTTGGGGCCTGGACACATTTTTCCCAAAAGAAAAAGAAACATAATCCCATGAAAGTTATCAGAACTTTATGTTGTTTTGTTTCTTTTTGTTTCTTTTTTTAAGTGGACTTTTTAAACAAAAATCGTATGGGCCCAAAGCCTAACATATGCAAAATAGTTCCTGGGCTCACAGCTTTTCAACAAGGACTCAAAAGGCTCAATAGCCTAAGTTGGATTGGCTTTAACTACGCGCAAATGCACAAGTAATTTAATAAATTAGGTGAATTTAAATACAAAATCTGCGGAATACTAAGATGAATAGCCAGCTAAAAAACAAAACAAAAAGGTACTCTATAGAAAATTCTACACCTTCCTAACATTTATTTTATAATTGATTATATTAGTTAGCTGAAAATTTTAAGCTTAGAATTTTTTTGACTGGATTTGGACCCTCTTTACCGCCAAAAAGATATATAGAGAGACTAACATCTACAACTACTAATTGAGTAATATATAGTTGTGATTTGCCTTCTTGAGAATTCAGGGGGATATTGGAAGTGTTATTTTTGGAATATATCATAGTCTCCCACAACTATTCAGTACATAATTAGTGGTTGGAATTAAAGATAGTAATCTCTCCACTGCTTTATGTTATACAATCAACAACTTGAAGCAATTTTCCCATTATTTAGAGGGATGAAAAGCTACTACATTGGCACAATTCTTTAGTTTTTTTTTAATTTTTAATATTCACCTCTTACACTTGGGAGAACTCTTGTTGCAAGCAACAAAACTGCCTTCTCCTGTTTCTTTTTTGACTTCTCTTTTACATTTTCGAAGCAAAGCACTTGAATTGCAACGCTTGACTCCAAATGAATCAAACTTGGTCCATGGAATCCTATATATATATATATATAAAATACTCTCCTCGTATACTTAACCTACAATTAAATGATATAGTGGCCAGATTCCAAAACTTGTGAGCCAAGTAAAGCTCTCATAATCTCTTCAAACTTAATTATCATTAATCCAATGGCTAATTAATCATTGACTTACTGCTACATCTTGTATCAAGCTTCTTGATGAATCAAGATAATTATAGCTTATTCCATCCTTTTAGAAGATTGATTATGATGTAAACAATATAATTTGGGAGCAATTTCTAATATATTCGTTGGACGTTTTTTTTTTTTGTCTGAAGATTTTATCCGCTTGTTATTTGTATATGGGGTCCTACTCTTGACAGTTAGAATGAAACTTTAGTGTACGATCTGTGTTTATTTCTAAGGGCTTTTCTTTCATTTCATTTTATTTTATTTTATTTTATCATGCGTAGGACCCTCTAAAGCCACTTTGCTTTCAGTGTAGGCTTGTGATTAAAGTATATTAGTTTTATTTTATCTTGTGCTTCTTATTGGCTCACATATTGCCATTATGATCAGCATTATAACTATACTTTCTTAAGTTTTATTACATGACACGCAAGTGTTTGTTTTGATTCTAGCCTAAAGTGAAAGAAAGGCATAGAGATGAGAGGGCGTTTTCCTCTCTTTTAAGAATACATATATATATCATTGTATTTGTTAGTGATAGGCAATAATGATCAGGTATATATAAATTGTTTACATAAGATGTATGTAATGTCCCATTTTTTTGAAAAGTTTCTTTTGACTTCAAGATATTTGGTGCCTTGTAATTGTAATTATAATGCAAATCTCAATTGCTTGCAACTTAATTATTTGGCATGCAACTCCTTAGAGCATCTCCAACAGCTTCCTCATTTCTTACTTTTGGAGAATTTAGTTAGGTGTTTGGTCCAACAGATTCTCCATCTCATTCCCCAATATAGGGATGGAGAAGAAGAAATGGGGAAGCTTCCCCAAATCTGCAGCATTCTCCAAATTTTTGGAGGAAAAAAGAGATTTTTCAAAATAGGGAAGCAGTTGGAGTTGGTGTAAAAATAATTTGAAGAATATGACTTTTGTTTCCCCATTTTAGAGAAAATTTTGGAGAAGCTGTTGGAGTCAGTATTAAAACTACAACTTATGGGCAGCCGCGGGTGTTTATTTTGAGGTAAACAGTAAACTTATGTATGAGCTTAATTGACTCCAAGTTGAGCAATAATTTAAATCACATTTGCGGCTTAAAAGGTTGCAAGTAAGACCTACGTGCATAAGTTTTCTGCTACAACTGAAAGACTATTTACATTAATTGCAGCTGCAACTATATTCATTAGTTACATGAAAACAAGGAACTTTAATTAATTCCATGCATCTATAATTATAATCCCAATAATTGCCGCCAATTAAAAAGCTACCTTTTGGATAAATGCTTAATAGAATGTAAATTGTTTATGTCTCATCTCAAAGGGTCAGTTTGGCAACCCCAACAAAAGAGCTTTGTTACAGGGACCCAAAATATGGGACCAATAGAGGGGACAAGTGAGGTGTCCCCTTCCTATTGGATAATGAGTTGATCATCATTAATGATGGCCAACTCATTATCCAATAGGAAGGGGACACCTCACTTGTCCCCTCTATTGGTCCCATATTTTAGGTCATTATATTTTAGGTCATTGAAGAATTTTTCATAAAGTAAATCTAAAAGCATAGGAAACCATTAGAATGTGCGCAAGTTGACCTAATGTTTGTTGAAGAGAGCATTTCCGAAAGCAATTGGGATTTGACTCTCTCTTTTGTCATTTTCAAGTGGTTTCGATCGAAGAGACAACTGTGCTAGTATATACAATATTGTTTATTAGCTTCAATTTCTATTTTGTTTTTTTAGTTTCTGTTTCGTTCAGAAAATTGTTTTTCTCCTTGTATTCATAAAGAGTCTCATTTAAAAAAAAAATCTTTTAAAGATCGCTTTCGTTGCCGTGGCATTTGAAGTGCTTGAACTCAATCAATGCGTGACATATATTATGAGAGGCAATTACATAATTAATACTCTTCAAACTAATTTACTCTTTCTAACTTGTATTTTTGTTTCTAATTAATCATTAATTAAAACCTACCAAAAGTCCTAAATGATGCTCCATCTTTATATATATATCTATCTTGATTACGACTCTCCAACCTCAACAAGTTACTTGGTTAAGTATGCCCCCAACTTCAACTTCGACTTATCAACACTAAACTAAACTCATTGTTAAGTACTCAATGTCACGTATATATCATATTTTATTGTCCACGTCACCTTTTAGACATGTAGAAACAAGTGTCAGTGTCATTGCATCATAGGGTGAGAGTATTTTTATCATATTATATATATATATTCTAAATTCTCAATATTAGACACGTATGCATGATATAGAGTTTTAAAATTTGATTACACAAATTATAACATGTATAAAAGTATTACGTACGTACCCCTAATCTCACTACACATATACACACACCAATGTAATTAACAACACTTTACTGTAAAACTCTGATGTTCTAGGGTACTCATTCTTGGTTGGAGATGTGTACTATTTTTGTAACAACCAATTTTGTCTAATTTAGCTGGCTGGATTACTATTTTGGTAATCCATCATTTTTCTCAAAAAAAAAAAAAAAACATTTGAGGTATTTGATACATAATTATATCTTAGTCATGGTAAAATGACAAGGTTAATTAGTAATAGAATACGGCTAAGTTGCACTCAAGTAGTAGTTCTCTCTACTCCCCACTTGTATACCTCTGCGCTCGTTTTTTTTTTTTTTAAAACTAAATCAACGACGTAAGTAAATTAAGAACAAAAAACTGTCTTTCTCAGAAAAAATTCTTAGATGCTCGATGAGCATCAAAGTTACGTATACCAATCAAATAGAAGAATATACGTGACATATATAAATCACGTATAAATGATTTATAAATGGATAGATCGTATAAATGTTATACGGCGCCTGAGAATTTCTACACGTCTGATCTTCGACAAGATGTAGAAGTCCACGTGTCACGCATGCTCAAGGGGGGTCATACGTCATATTACCCTCAAAAAAGGATAATGAATGTATCAACGTTGCGCGCGTGTATTGCCACTGGTTGTGTATCGGAATATAGGATATAAAATAATGAATAGAGATACATCTTTAATGTTTTAACAGGATGCCAATAATGACATAGGCAAGTAACATATTCATTTCCGACCCCGATCTGTTAGACACGACCCTAAATTAGTCGCGGTTAGCAACCCCGATTATTTAGAGGCGTCGTTAAAAAAACTGACCCATTTCGTGGCCATGTTGCTGACGTGACCATAAAATGAGTCGGTTTTGAGAAATAAAATGGGAGTGGGTCGATTTTTTTATAAAAAAAAATTTAAATGGGTTTATTTTGAAAATTTGTTCATTTTCTAATTCATTAGGGTCAATGATCAATTGTATTACCTGTTTAGAAATAGCTATGCTGCCGTAAAAAGAAAATCAAATACCATGATATTCAAAAAATTATGGAATTTATACAAATGAAAATTGCTATCTATGATTATAACTTTGATTTTACAAATTCACGCTATTATTGTTAATGGGTCTTCTTGCATATTATGATTATCGCTAAGATTTTTTTTTGTGTTTATTATGAATATTGTCGTGATTCCTGACTAAAGTGCCCATACTCTAGTCATCATTATCCAGCTATAAATAGCCAAAGTATCCATGAAACAATTTTCCCTCAATATTTCTCCTTTGAGATAACCAAAAGTAATTATCAAAAATGACGTCTGCGTCCCTGAAACATCTAGCAACGTCTATCCATACAAAATTGTGATTGCTCTGCAAAAGAGAATATTTGGCCAGAGAAAAAAAGATTCGAGGGAATTATCTGTCATTGTACGGGGGCAGGAACGCAATTACCAAGAAATGGGCGGGCTCGATTTGTCATTGTCAGATCCG